AGGTTTTTTTCGCAAGCTCACGGACAAGCACTGAGCATACAGTGCTTATTAATATACGTTGGGTAAGGGCAAAACCTGTTATATAAATGGATTTTTCTTTCCAACGCTCGAAGCTTTACCTGTAATGTCCCGTCACAATATGCCCTGTATTCTATCGGGAATCAAGAAGTCTTTCTCATAATTGGACTATTTACTTTCCTTGGCCCTGCCTGCAGCCTGATGTCCAGCCTGGCAACTGTTGGGCCTTTAAGGGTACCCATGGCTACATGGTCATCCAGCTGGCTGGGATCATCAAACCCAGTGCCTTCTCCATGGAGCACATTCCCAAGTCGCTCTCGCCGACCGGAACAATAGAGAGTGCGCCCAAGGAATTCAGTGTCTGGGTAAGCTAACATTTGGGACAGATGGGTTTCCTCAGGAAAAAAACCTTGCGAACTGCAGGCATCACGCCAGCGTTGTTGCCATGGCCTTTTAAGACCATCATGAGACTAAAACACGAGTCCTCCATTCCGAGTTGTTACAGTGTGTTCAAATGAACTACAACCAAAGTGTTCCTTTATCAGTGTTTTCCCTGTTACTTGTGACTGGTCTTGTGATGGGATCGCCCACAGCATTTGTCACTTTGTCTCCCAATTATCCTGTTCAAAAACGAAGAGTCTGCCAATGGAAAAAGAATGTTGTGGTGTTTTGGTTGATTCCCAGAATACCTGAAAGATGCTGTAGAGGAAACCTAGTGCAGAGGTCCTACAATTAATCCCATTATTCCATTGTAGAAGGAATTTCTGAAGCGCATTTAAAGTGTCTTTTCACTGGATGGATCTCAGGGTCTGCAAGATGAGGAAGATACCGAAGGCGTGCTGCTTGGGGAGTACATCTATGACCAAGACGGTTCACCGCTGCAGTTCTTCCCTATTGAGGTAACGTTGGGCTGTTGTGAGTCAGTGTCATTACCACTGGGCGTCCAAGAAACAAGGGAGTCAAACAGGAGAGGACAGTTCAAAGGTTGAAGTGAGATGGTGGAGTACTCTGGGGAACCAACCAGAGAAGAGGAGGTTTTCAAAACAGTTGCAAAATATTTTTGACTTTTCAGTTTCTATTCTGAGAGACCTGTATCTTGTAAAGGAATAACGAAGGTGTGCTTTCAACAGCTTACAAACTTTTGTTAAAGATATCCTGTGAGTTGTGCAGTGAATCAGGTGCTCTTGAAATTGTCAACAAGGTTTGGGATGCAATTAAGTACAACAAAAGGGAAGGGGGAAGAAAGAACAACTGTTGTTCCGAAGAAACATCCATCCAAGTCCAAGTCAGTTTTCTTGGAAATTAAGATGATTTGCCTCATCCAAATAACACTCCATAACCTAATGTAGTTGGAGGTTGAACCCTCCCACCCCATGACCCGTGGACCCTGTGCATGGTAGTGAACATCTTAAAACACTCTGGTGTGATTTGTTTTTAATCACAATGACGTCAGTGTTCCTTTTTTTTCTGTTTCCCTGCAAATGGTACAGAAAAGTGATGTTGAGCCCATACCGGTCGTGGAGCTCAAAATCCACAGTAACCATGGCAACTTGGAATACACCTGCCTGTACCGCTTCCGAGTGCACGGCACGTTAGATCGACGATAGCCAAGCTTGCAAGGCAATGTATCCCCTCAAGGTATGTCAATTTGTAGTTAACCTCGGGAACACGAAGTGGCAGCCCCGGTGATGATTGCTTCTTGGAAAATCTGCATCACTGCAGAGTTTTTCAAAGGTATCTTGTGAATCATACGAAGGCATTTTTTCTCTCTAGAATTATGTGTCACTGTGCAGAATGAATTTGTGAAACACACTTCTGTTTAATTACAAACAAAAGGCCAATAAAATTGGTTTCGAATCCTGTATATATGTACAGTATTACTGAAATGAAACCTTTTAAAAATCACTGAAGGTAGATACGACAGTGACTGTTAAGTGGGAATGTAAATATATAAATAGTGAATGTAAATAAGTGAATGCCACGCATCCAAATAGTTCTTCCTGAAAGATTTCCTGAGAGGTATTTTGAGTATATTTTGTATGTGTGTGGTTTATATTCAAGGTGCATATAAACTTTGGGCATTTATTTAGACGAAACTCAATTTCTGTACACTGCTTTGTGCATTTAAGTAGAAAAAATAATACCAAAAAGCTAGGATGAGTTCTGCCGTTAACATTTGCTAAGATATAAGAGAAAAGTAAAGACAATCCATAAGACGTGTCGATGTGTACTGTCTGCACCTGTCAAGAGCATCAACATGATACTAGTGGTCAATAGCAAGAAGTAGACAATAGTCGAGACTATTGATAGGCACTGGCATCAGTATTAGCTATTACATATTTAGATGGGGTTTATTTTGTGTCTAGTCACAAGTTGCACCGGTGCTGGTGCGGTGCTTTGCCCTGAGCCCAGGTATAATGGCACTTAGTTAAGGTGTAACTTAAGCACATAACGCATACAACCACCATTCCAAGTCAAATGGAAAAATATGGAGAATTTGCACAAAGCTCGTTAGCACAGAGTCCTTAACCATAGGACCATAAGTAATCATGTGCAGAGTAATCCATAGAGCTTTATCGTGGGGCAGCCATCTTATTTCTTCTACCTATAAAAGTAATGTAAGGGTGCACCACTTGAAATAAATCCCCATATTTCACAAATATTTAAAAAACACAACTCTCACAGGTGTTCAGGCTGCACAGAAAAATGATGTTCCAGAAGTCCTCTTTCATTTTCCTTTCAATTTTTGGGGGGTTGACCAATAAATTTTTGAGAAATTTTTACCAAAGCAGACCACCCTTAAAATGCACAAAATGTCCCTGTCCAGAAAAGTAGCCAATTTGAAAAACCATCTACCTGCAAAATGGCTCAAACAGTGCCACTTTCGGACCCGATTGCATTCAAATTGCTCAGAATTGGAAGTCTGGCCCAGAGGTTCAGTCTCATATTTCTTCAATTCCTCTGTTCCATGGCTCTCAGGACCCTCTAATATAGACTATTTTGAGTGTATAACTTTTATTAATGAGCTCGGCGGATGTATTTCTGGCCTAAATAGGAGGGTGTACCCGCAACCAAAATGAGGCTGAAAGAAAAAAATAGTCTTTTCCCTTTTATCAAGGTGTTACTTTTGTTATGTGTTAAAGGGGGGGGGGCAGGACAAACATGGCAGCATCATGATAAAGGTCCTCATAGTAAACAGTGTGTTGAAAGAATGTACATACACAGGGTAGCAAGCCATGGCCTGCAATGGTATCTGTGAATTGTGCAAGCTTGGATGTGATGATAGATACAGGGCATTCCCCTAGAACAAATGACCAGTACATTGATTTGTTTTAAGAATGTGTAAAGTTATTTAATTTTGTTTCATTGTAGGCCACAAGTATAGTTTCATTTTAACATTTATATAATGTAATTAAAGCAGTCAGCCAAAGTCTAGAGAGATTGATGTGCTGTTGGGAAGTTATAGGAAGTATGATAGAGATTTGTGTAGTGACTTGACTTTATATAAAAGAACAAATATTTGTTTCTAAAGGTGCCTTTGTTTGGGTTGAAATACATTTAATTCTGCCTTTGGTGATTTTCCATGTTCAGCCTCAACAAATAATAATTTGTTGTAGCTGAATAATTTGTAGTCTGTGTATTTATAACTTAGCCTCTGTGGAATGAGAAAAGGTGCAAAAAATCCCCAAAATGAAAAAAAAATATGACTGAAATCTGAATTTAATGAAGACCCTATAGGAAACTGTACCGGCCAAGTTGTTCATTGAATTGCTAAAGTCCCTGAAATCACTTTTGAGAATCAAATTGGCTCGTTTCTTTCTTTCTTTTTAAATACAGACCAGTTTTGGTTCATTATCAAAGAACACTGTATTTGTAAGCATACCTTGCTAGAAGAGGTCATTTTTACATTAAATTTTTTTTTTCATATTTCAAGCTAACAAACACCACTTTTTTTTTGCAAAAAAAGACTGCAAAATAATTACAAGGAAACTGCGCAATTGAATATGGGTTTTGAAAGCTTGCAGGCATTTTGTAGAAATACCATCTGAATTTTTGTGGCTCATTGACCATATCTAATGGTCCTTTGCTGCTATCCAAGATGGAGATACTTTAGTTGTTGTTGCACAACATTAATATTGAGAATGATGCTTGCCTTACATTGTTGCAGTTATCATAACAAGGAACTACCTATTTAAATGGTCTGGCCAGTTCCTTTCACTACTTTGAACATGTATAGTTGAAAATCATATGCTCTATGAGGGTAGAATTTATCTATGCGTTAGCTTCATAGTACGTGTATGTCATCTTCCAGTTTTACCCTTTACTAATAGATCAAGGTGGGATTTTGGGTTAGGGGTGATTTACCTTATTAAAACCTCTTTTTTTGTGTTTGTGCAACAAATCCAGTGCCCCTGAACATCCTGAAGTTTACAGGGGATGTATAAGAGTCAAGACCATCGAGACCATGTCAAGACATTGTAGTCGAGACCATCAAAGGGTCAGGCCCATTATCAGTCACATGTAACTGTGAATAATAACATAATGTTATGTTGTTCGTTTGAGTTGCTTGTGACTGATTGAGACTGGAGGTCTTACGTTGGTTTTACTCTGGTCTTATGATTGACTTAACAGGACAACTGTTCTGATAAAAGTGCATAATTCATATGTACAACACATGTACAGAATTGAACCGCGCAGAAAGAGAAATCTGACAGCATTTCTCAATTTTGCAGAAGAGCTCTGTTGTATCATTGTGACTTGAATTTGTTGCTTTGGTTTATCAAAGAAGCTGTTTATCTGATAATTGGCAATATTTATGGACAGTCCACTGCATATTTGGGTTATTAGTCTGAGGTATTTATTTGGACTTCTCCCAGCTTCTCCAAGCGCAACCCCTGACAGTAATCTAGTGGTGCTATGTATGGACTTATGGTCCTGAAATGAAAGCAAAGTCTGAGTTTGTTTTCCACATGAAGCCCATGCATGTGGTAACAATAACAACCATTTGAAAGGCAGGCAAATCTGAAATAAGATATGGGTTACATTTTGAAATATTAATGTAATCAAAAGGTGATTCTTTCCCAAATAAAAAAGAGAATATTACTTTTCATGAAGCTAGGCATGTTAATTTAAAATGGAGAGAAAATCTATACTAGAATTTACCGAGATTTACTCAGTTAGCAATGTAAATAAAGGATATAATTTGTCGATATATGTAAAAGGGTTGTGCTTTGTGCAAGTAAAAAAAGGACAAAAACTTTAAAAGAATGTTTTTGATGATGTTGAAATTCATTTTGAAATATGTTTGTAGTTTTCAAAGTACATCGTTGAATGTTTTTGAATTATAAATAAGTCTTGCAAGTATAATAAGCTGGAAAGAATGTTGATTGGTTTGTAATTAATCTTATTTTGGCAGAGGATCACAAAGGTTTTAGAGGAAGTCATGGAGCAGTACAAGAGTTCAGATTCTTTTTTGTAATTTGGATTTAGCAGCTCTTGTTAAAAAATGTAATTAATAATATTAGGCCAAACAAAAAAATACTTGTGTTTCCTATTACACTGGAAAATAAATTAGGGTGGTTGGTTGGGTAGAATTTTTGTTACTCTAAATTTTTATAGCCCAAATAATTAGGGTAAGATGATTTTTTTTGGGGGGGGGCATATATTTGTATCACGTACTAAGATTAATGCTGTACATGTGCATGTCAATATTATGTATCAGCACTGTGATTGAGGAGTAAAGCAGCTGGTTGTTGAAATACAGTAACACAAGAGCTGTCCATCTCATGCAAATAAAAAATTAAAACAATACAATGTACAGGACGATATACACAAAATTGTAGGTTGGGTTGGGTGACCAGAAACACAGCTATTTTTTTGTTTGGCCTTAGGTTATCACATTGTTTGCTACCGTGCATTGAAAATGTTCTGCAGCACATTTATTCAAGCATGCCTTCCACTGTGAAGTGCTGTTGACCTTGCAATAATTAAATGCCAAAAAACAGATGTAAAAAGTTTGCTCAGAAACGAACAAATGTCTTTGTTCCCAAATATATACCCATGGAAGTTGAGCCAAAGGTAATATTAGAATTGCATGTACTTGTATGTCCTAAGCCTTTTTAAATTCTAGGACACATAATACGCAGAATTTTTATTTTGACATTTAAGACCAGCGCTTCTTGTTAAGGGAATAAGAGTGTAATAGAGAGATTTACTTGCATAAAAACAGCTCAATCGCTCTTTGATTCCATTCATGTTTGGTGACAGTCCAAGCAAATAAGAATGATCAATCTTGCATCCTGTTGTGTGAAACATCCCTCTAGTCATGTGGTGTGTGCTTCATGCAGTAAAACTATCGGTCACAGGATGTACTGGTTGACATGGCATACAGCGCAGCCACACCAGCAGGTGTAGATCCTAGGGGGGTGATCCCTCCCCCACCCTGACACCCTCCAAAAGAATAAATCAGTGAAATAATTATAGTAATTCGAAAAAACACAAGTGTTAGGGTTATTATTTATACATCAGTAACAAAGTAATGCTTTACCTATGAGCCCGCCTGTTTGCAATTAAAAGGGGGGGCCCTGAACCCTCCTCGAAAAAAGTTCTTGGATCAGCCACTGATCAGTGTTAAGTGAAATGTTGACTCTTTGATATGGCCACATTTGACAGGAGTCAAAATTTCATATGAAACTGGAAAAGTGTTTAAAACCAGTTGATACTTTTATCAGCATTTTAGAATCAATCGTTCATTACATGTACAAGGTTTCTAATGTACAAGGTTTCTACCAATAGGAACAGATTACCTGGCTGAGGTATTTACAAACTGTTTTTCTGTGAATTATGCAGGGGTATTTATAGGGTGCAGTACGACTTAGACATTAGCTCCAAAGACAGTCTTTAAAAATCACAAATTTTGTATGTGTTGTTCATATGTTATTAAAGAACCATCTTGTGAAACAATTTGTCGATTTCCTTTGGTGGCGTGAAGAGTTGATATTTGTGTCACTGCACCAGTTGTGCTTGCAGACTGGAGGTACGACACATCAGAGATCATGGGCCGCTGGATTATCTGTGCGTTTTGCATTACAAGTGTCCAAGGCCCCTGTGGTTTAACTCTGCCGACAGCAGCAACAAGCTTATTTATTGGTCCAGGATAGTGCGCTGAAACTAAAGTCTGCTTCCATCAATTTGAATTCATTTGTATTAAAAAAGTAAGTACGTAGCAGTTTGGGTAAGATTGCTGTTTGAAAAAGCTGCCTAAATTGAGATTTTTTATATTATGTGATAATAAAATACATGTGTATATATTATGATTATTTTATTTACAGGTTGTTTGAATAAGAATGCCTAATTTGAACAAATTTTGGAAGGAAATGCTTACTGCTTGCATATCATACTCAGGAATCTCTCTCATCCAATTAATGAAACTACCCTTCAAAGTTTAAAAAGTACTGGTTCCAAAATTCAACAATTAAATGCGAACATGTTTGAAGGAAAACCAACCCCTTTGGAAGAAGTGGGAAAGCTTGCCATATTTGCAAGCCGTTTACTCCTTCGCATCAACAACACCACCAGCTGAGATGGCAAATGTGGCTTCATTCTCAGGCATGTCAGGACTGAAATGAGGATTGTTTTTGTCAACTTTGAATTAATAAGAAATAATAATTGAAAATTTATAATGCACCGTTTCCATAAAAATCAGGGATGAGACTTTTCAGCTGATCTCAGCTTCTTTTGTTTTGGATTTCAGCTTTTTTTCCCTCACTGGCTGTGTACAAAAGTGTATGAAATTTTCAAAGTTCAGCTTCTTTTTTCAGCTGTTTTTTAGCTATTTTTATCATTAGTCAATCTCATCCCTGAAAAATGGTAAACGGCACAGTACAAGTTGATGTAAAAGTAATTGATTTAAGAAATGAAAGAATAAATGAATGAATGTCACCACGCTAGTACCCAAACCGTAGTACGGGGATATGTCTCCTGCCAACAGGGAGAATAATAATATTGAATATTAAGATTGCAAGGTTGCATATGGTTAGATGATGAGGCAAATCCCTGTGTGAGACATGCATTATTTCTAGACGTACTGCAAAGCACCCAAAATTAGCTGTCTAGACTGCTACGAACCATGACCTTTTACAGAGTCTGCCATGTTGAATTGAAACACGGAGAATTGCTTAAAATTGGAATCTTCAGAGACAATATGAAAGTAGACTTAAAGGTCATGTGTGTCAAAACTTATAAAGGTCCAAGCTGAAGGATTTTTTCAGTGCCATCAGCCTGGACTTGACAAGTCTTGGGTCAAGTCTTGGGAGGAGTGCAGTTGGGCCTAGACTTGAGACCATCACCAAGCTTTAGAGTCTGTTGGAACATTTCTTCAATATCTTGATGACCCTGCTGTATATATCCTGCCTACCTGTCGTATATCTTGGCAATCCTGAGCTCTCCACGTCCTTTCCTGAGACTCAGCCTTGTGGTGGAGGCATGAGCCAAGATGTGGCCTCCGATCGGCTTCTTGGGGTCAGCTTGGAAACTGGAACAAGTGAGAAGGGTGCATAGGTCATTGAGAAGTCAAACCCCTATGCTGAATTTTGTCCTTTTCAGAGAATTTCAGTGAAGTTTACTTAGCTATGAATGTGCCATGCAATTATTAAAATCCTGTACAATTTGGCCTTGGTGACTTCAGTTACGTATTTTGAAATAATACAGAAGTAAAACCTCATAGAAGAAAATTACACCTCATTAAATGTGTCATTGGTTAAAATCTGGATTTCAGCGTGTTGAAAATGGACCCACCAAAGTAAGATTCAAAGAACTTTATATATGGATATATTTTAATTAATGATTTGAAATTTTCGCTGGCTGCACTTTATAACCTGTGAACTTATTGATGGGATTACACATCGCTCAAGTCAGTCATTTGGTACAAAATTCAGATGAACATGGAAATCATTTAGCCATTCTCTGATCCCCTTTTTGGAACCTGTCTTATAGTGTTATTTACCTCATTGTAGCACCAGGATCTGCTGTCATCTGATTGGTCACAAATACAGCAATATTGTACTCTGGTAGCAGCAATTAAAAAATAAATTGAAAACAAAAATTGAAAAAGTGTACGGATATACATGTACTAGTCCTCTTGATATCGGAATTAATCAAGCTAATTGAAAAAGTTGTCTTCACCTGTCACAACTGAAAATTAAATTTCAGATGTGATCAGCAAATCTCTGATTCAAATGACATCATGTTCTAGATTGACAGCATTAGGCTCTTAGCCAGTTTAAAGATCAATACCAAAAGTTGGGGAGTGTAGATCCCTTTAATAGCAAATATCAAAAGTTGCACAAAGTATCAAGTATTAGCAAAGACTGCTGCAGGCTGGTAACGTTTGTGATCTTGTGAAATTCTATGTTTTATGCTATCAAGATAAAATGTAATGAAGCAAATGCTTTAAATTGAAAAAAAAACCCATATCATAAAAATAAAAACCAAATTTAAAAATGTACCAGAAACTTCTCAAGGAGACTTGTCAGGAGCATTTTGTTGGGCAAGACCTGTCTACAGTATTCAATATGTGTTATCATTGGTTTGGCGCGAATGAGCCCAAACCAAAAACCTGAGCTTGCCCGGTGTTTGATGACAATATCAGATATCCAACTAATTGGTGAGAGACTCTGCTCTCCCCCTCCCTCCGCCATGATCCCTTCCCCCACCTCTTCCCTCACACTGACCACTGACCCATCACTGCCAGCCACTGACCTTCAGATATCTTCTGTAGCTTGGACAGCATCTGTGCCAGTTTCTGCTGCCTGTCGGCCAGTTCCCCTCGGCCACTAAAGTCCACTCTAAACAGGGCCATGATGGAGTCAATGATCTACAATGGAAGAAGTGCAAGTGAAGAAATGAACCTCCAACTAATGAGAAAAAATTCATTTGTCTTGTGAGAGAAGTATGTAGAAAGCATACAAATTCTCAAAAGGAATTGAAGTCTCACCAGTAGTTTGAAGACACCTGGTTCTTCATGGAACTTGGCCGCAGCAAAGTCAAGAAGTTCAAACTGATGCTCACCTGTACTTCAAAGAATGAAAAAAGGAAAAAAGAATGTCCTAGCTTTTACCCCCCAAATCACCTCTCAAAACAAAAGCCCCAAAAACTTTTGAAAGGGAAAATAATCCCCTAAATTGTGTGATGGCGCAAAAACAAGTTGTAAGAAGTTTGCTGACGGGTATCATCAACCAAAAGTAGGTCTAACATCATGATGTTGATATGTGCTATTTACTTCTCTGTAAAATGCCTTTTGCAAACTTTTAAAATCTTTCAATTTCTGTACATTCCTTTAAATGTATTTTACTATCTACTGAGGCATCAAAGGATGGTTGAGAGTTTCCTCGAGGGAAACGTATGCTACCATCTCCTCACTTGTATATGCCCTGGCATACAAGACATTATCCAGCATTGCTCCATGATCAAGGTTGAAACGGTCAGCTATATCACGCAATCTGTCTGGCCGACTGAATAAATACATTGAAAGGAAAAAAATGACAACGCTTTTTAAATCTCATGTCTCAGGAAAATAGTGTCCCATTTCAGTATTAAGGGACTGCAAATGTGAGGAAGTGAAAGCAGAACACCCTACAGTTTGGTCAGGATATTTCCACATAAGTGACAATTTTTTACCTTCACCGAATATTATTTCAATGAAGTTCTCAGTGGTATTTGAACATTTCACTGGAAAAACTTCAACTTCCGTCAAACCAACAACCGGTGCCCAAATGACTATGAGAACATCTACTCAATTGCCTCTTCTATTGCCTCTTGGCAATGCAAACTGACATTTTAACCCTATCATGTACGTTTGGATACAATGTGTTTTCAGTGTCGATGAAGACTACTTTTCCTCCAGGGTAGTTGTTAGCTCCAGGTAGCTGTGTTGTAATGCACAGTGTGTGTGACAGCTGAGTCTTGCCAGTACGGAACTCTGGAAGAAACAAAATAATACACAAACACACAGATATTCTCAAATGCTGTGATCCATTGTGCCCTTCATGTATAGATTTAAATCAAACCATGAAGGAAATGCAAATGAATACAATCGTGATTGAACATTTTCTTTGCACATTTATCTAAACATTTCATTCGGATAAACCTACTTACCCAGGAAGCACTGCTTCTCAGTAATTCAAAAGTGTCATGAAATTATTGATGACTAACCTCCAAAAGCTTCAGTGATGGCCATGCTCTCTACGCCCCCTCCAATTAGTTTGCTGAAAATAAACAGGCAGAGTGCAACAACTGGGGTCCCAAATACAAAAATTATTCATAACAATTACATGAAAAAGAAAAATGTAAACATACTTAATTAATTCATGATACTTGTCTTATTTTGAGACACATTGCCTGCATAATACGAAATTGTATATTGCTTGGAAATTATAATTTTTTAGCACTCAACATTTTCTCTTTGTGGTACAAGCTGTGTCTTTCATTTTGCAGTTTTGAAATTGAAACTTATCTTTGTGTACGCAACTTTAGCATTCAACAGAAAATCTGTCTTCAACTCTGTAGACTAGAGATAGTTGTGCATTTATTTCACCACCCGTGACCTAGAGTTTTTCTGCCAGAATTCAGTGGGTCTGAAAAGGATTGCAAAGTACACGAAAATCTGTAGCCATTAAGTCTTAAAATGTCTTACTCAAGTTCTGAGCTTCCTGTTGTGATGCGGAAACAGTTCTTGCGTTTGGAGCTGTACTCTAGGGCTGTTATGAATCCATGCGCCTGATGATATAAATGTAAATCTGAATTCATGTACACAGGAGTACACTTTAGGTCAGCACTGTTTTGCTAATGGCTTCCTTTCATATAGCTACATTGCCTATGCAATACTTTTCCTTTGCCAGTAGTACAATAGAGGGTTTGCATAGCTGCCATCTTGCAGGCCAGCGCTTTTGTTCCACAGAGTAATTAAGGAGATTTCCCTGTGGAACGACAGAACTGCCCTGCAAGATGGCTACCATGCAAAGCCTCTATAACACTGAAGTCACCCCAGCATTTGTAGATTCACAACTAAATACCAGTAGCCCTCTTCTGAGGTCCCAGGGGGATTCATGGATTATTATTGATTGCCAACTTCTTCTTGAGCAGAGTATACATAATTAAGTTTTCCATCAGTGTAACTTTGAATATGATTGTCCAAAGCAATTCTTCCACTTGCCTCCAGTTTGGCAGCAGCTTCTTTAATCTTTTCCATCTTGGCCTCAGAGATGCCTTTAATTTCACACATTCGCTTCCGGGTTGTCATCTGGATCCCCTGAGCAGAGAATTAGCACAGATAAACTTGCCTAGCAGTAGAATTTTTGCAGCAGGTCAGTAGCTATATTTTATTCTTTTTCTGTGAATGCTATTTCTGCACATATGATGTCAACAGGAATCTCAACTTGATAGTTACATCATTTATTATTTAGTTTTTTGGGAGGGTTATATCAAGACCCTTTCAAATTTTATCAAATTGTATGTTTTTCTGGCATACACCTCCTTGTCTTGAATCAAGGGTGGATAAGGGACAATGCCCCCTCCCCTTAAAAGAGCCTCTTTTGACAAATAATGAGAGAAAGGTAATTTGGTGGTATATTTTATTTCCCTTCTTTACAAATACATGTAAGAAGCACCAAAAGCCACATCCCTCAAAGAAGTCAAATAACATTCCATGAAAAAGTGCCCAATTTGTATTCCCCCCCCCAAAAATTTGGTTCTGGATAAACCCTCACCTAAGCTAGTCAAAACGATCGAAATTAAAAACAAAATGAATAGGGGATATTCCAAAACAGAATCAAAGCATTCAAAACCATTTTCCTAGATATTTTAAAATACTGAATAACAGCATTCCATGATCTAACTTACTTTTATAGTACAAATTCCTGCAGACTTTAACTTCTTAATATCAGCCACATTCTAAAAACAAATAATATCAAGAAATGAATCACAAGGTCACACATCTTGTATTTGTTAATCAATGTATGGTTTTTGCTCATCAAAACAATGCCATCAAGTGGACGTACATGTATTTCATCCCCCCAAATTCTACAACTTTTTGAATGTTCCCGTGAAATGGTTCACTCTGCAGTAACCTTTACTGTGCGATCATCCTGGAGCAAACAATAGAAATGCTTAACAATGACTCTGGACTTATTTATAGTATACTTACAATACCATGATTTTGCAGGAGATCTATGTCTTGGAAAAATGATTCCTGGAATTAAAGCAAAGATTGTTGATGTTTTTACATGTGTGGTAATTATGTGATAGGTTGGAGTGATAGGCCTTCACAACAGAGAAGTTGGACTTAGTAATTTAACACAGTGACTGGGTAAGCTAGGCAAACAGTCTCCAATTCAATCAAGCCGGTCTCTGGACCAAAGTTTCATTTCAGCAAGTGTAAAGTAGGCAAAGGCCTTGGCCCATACCATTTTTTCTTTCAGTCATTTTTAACATAAAAAACTTGTAAGGTCAAAAGTAGGCAAAAAAAAAATGTTTAGAGTTTGGCTTTTTGCAAAATAAGATGGCTGCCCGTTTCCAAGTTCCATCGCCTGGGTCTAGCTGCCTAGGCGTGTGCACAATCATGACAATTTGCAGTCATAGCCATACGCAGACATTCGAAGACATGTTTGAATTGGAGATGACACTTTCACCAGCAGAGTCTGACATCAGCATGATTAGGCCTAGGGCTAGTTCTGACTTGCCAGTTTTTCATTTTCTGATTGGTCATTTGACATTTTTGCTGTTTTTAACCAACTTTTTCAAAAATTAAAAAAGTAAATTGGCTTAGGGCTGAAATAAAGCAGCTCCCAAAAATAAAAAAGGATTGGAAAACATTTTTACTTGCTTAATTTGGGCTAGTGATATTAGGCTACGAAAACCATCAAAAGTTCTACATGATGTAGGCCTAGGCCCTTATTTTGTAACACCAAAATGTAGGCCTGAACATGCTTTAAAAAAGGGCATGTTTACAAAGAAAAAAAGGGTCTCTAATTTACTGTTTTATTATGCTTAGCATCTCTAAAATGACTAAATACAAGGGGCCAAAAACAAGAAGAAAAACACCTTGGACCCTAGCCTAGGGTCTAAAAAATAAACTTAATTAGGGCCTAGGGCTAGGCCTTGGCCTAGGGGCTTATGCTAATTAGGGCACAGGCTATGGCATGCTTAGCCTTAGGCCTATGCTTAACTTACTTCATCATCCAACTCATCGTCTATGTTCTCTTCCACCACCTGATCCTGCAGCATTGTTGCCAGTGATGTCTAATGTTAGTTGTCCACCCAAATTTGGAACACGTCGACTTGAACTTAACAGCTTAACATGCTTGAGTTGAAGTTTAAATCAACTGATCTGGAGCCTGTGGAGGAGGCGATTTTCTTCAAATCTTTTTTTCGAGTTTCAGAATACCAACTGATAGTGATAGGCATACGAGCAGAAAATATGGTCTGACTAGGCCTAGGGGCTATAGTTTTTCTTCAAACAAATCAAGTAGACACTTGACTCCTGACGTGTCGTATCATTGGGTAGGCAGGAGCATTGACCTGTGCACTTTTTTGTACAGTTTTTGCTTAGGCCTATTCGCGCCTTTTTACAAGGTCATTACACTTTTGACCTCTTGAATCAACAAATCTCCACAGTACAGGCAAAATAGTCTTTTTGATTGAAATTAATGAATTGTTTTCCGAATAGATGATGGAGTGTAAAAGATTATTGTGCTTGTAGCGGCGAGAATTTTCAATGGTTGAGCATTTATCATACATGCCATATATTTTGCCGACAGAATTAGAAAGCGGCCACAAAACTTTGAGCAATGCATGCTGGTATACGTAGTCTGGTTCCAACGTTCGAGTGCACTTACGTTTAAAATGAACTAGTGTTACTGGACACCATACTATGCTTCAAAGCGTTCGTTTTTCATGCAAATCGCACGTGTCTTATCCTCAGTGAAGCTCATCGCAGAGAGGATTAGATTTTTCTTCGCTTTTATCAACATTTCCAATAAATTTGTTGTAGCATGGTAAGAATTGATATTTTTACTAAGTGTCGATTTGTGTTGGGTGAAGAGTTTCCAATTGATAGTCATGAAAACGTAATTTTACGATAGTTGAAATCGGGGCAAAGTTTGTGTTTTCTGCGTAGGCCGAGGGCTATTGCTATAGATATAGCAAGCCATGGTAAGCTGCGTAACGTGGGCCTTTGCTAGCCCAGGTGAACTCCCTGACCGTACTACGTTACGGAGGGAGTAACTATAAAGGGTGCAAAATCGGGTGAAAAATGTTGTAACTAAAATTTGCAACATTTCTACTTTTTCCAAGGAGCCAATTTCACGTCTGTCATGTCTGTAAACAAACAGGTTAGCCCCATTAAGCAGGTCGGGGACAATCTAGCGACGTCACCAGCTTCTGCTTATGTCGCTAGTTCAAGTGGCAATGATGTCATTTTTATTAGGTCACGTGATAATGATGTAATTTTCCTGCGTGACGGGAAAATAACGAGATTTAAAATGCCGGCGGCCAACATGGCTGGAGTCTATGGCAAAATTGTGTTCAATTGCTGTTTCGGAAAAGTGCGATGGTAAGCAGAAAATTTGCCAAAGTGAATCGATGGAGATTTTTAATGGCAACATTTTCATGCATAAAGTAAACTTTGGCAAAGCTTCATTTTTTTTGTGAAAACTTTTTCATTGGCCGAGTTGGACTCGCCTGCCAGTCGACTTCGACACATCCAATGATTGATTCGACCGAAAAATCTCCTCGATCCGCTTTTCTAGATACCAAATGAAAAGAAAGTTTCATTTAGATCCGGGTTCATTAAGATCCGCATTTTCACGATTGGAGTTGCTCAATGGACGCCATACGCTCTCCGCTTCTTATTCAGTCCTTCACTACGTAATCTTACCTCCTTCCTTTTTGAGAAGTTTGCAGCTAATTTTTGAACTTCATAAGTTCAAGCACATTGACGTTGACAGCTCGAATCATCATGGCGTCAAGTTTGTGACCCCTAAACCGTGACCTTACATAATGCAAATACAGCACCAGGAGTTCAGATGCGACGGCTACTTCCTTTTTACCCACGCATGGGCTGGCAGTCATGGCAGTGAGCAGTTTAGTTTAGACTTAACCAGTTTTGCAAGATTGAAATGTCACAAAAATGGGGGTCCCAAGCATACAACCCCCTTACCATCGTGACGCCCATTTCCTCTTCATTCCATCCCCACTTCGCCCCATTTCCTATTTGTCCCGTCAGTGTACCCCCAGAACTTTGGGGTGCGAGCTCCGCTCCCAAGAACCCCACAGAAAATGAGCCTGCTTTGCGATAGGTTCCACATGATGTTTAACCCGACAAGTACCAGAGTACAGGGATTCTATTCTAGTTATGTACCCATAGAAATGCTGCTCCATTTCCCCCAAGAGTTCTGTGTGTGGTAGCTTACATATCTTCGTACTTTGTACAAGAAAAAAAAACGGGCCAAAACCAACGTCCAAGAGTCATGCAGTTCACATGTGTACTTGCGAAGATGAGCCACAACCAAATGGTTGACTACAATTGCGATCCATCCAAACATGTCAAATCAAAATAACTTTCAGCATGTTTAGAGTCACCGGTATTTGAGAAGTTGCCAAAGACCCAACGCTTAATTTTGCCTAGTTTGGATTGCATGTGCCCATATATATTTTATGTACTGAAGTAGGGCCTACACATGTGTAATCGATTTTACGTGATGTCAGGGCCATGTTCATGTACAAGTTTTGTTGGTTGGTCTTTGCATGTTTTAAACTGTCATGTTTGAGTCAAAAGGCATTTACACAGTTTATTTTATTTAACCCCTTCTCGGTGGGAATTTCTTTCCGAAAGCCGACTCCAAGAATTCCAGCTTCGCTTGGCCACGAAGGCCACCTGCCAAACTGCAAATTCTCGGTTTTTGGCCCAGCATGCTCTGCACGCTTTGAATTACACAGTGAAAAGGCTGATTGTTGGGTGGCATGCGGCTCTACTCAAGCTTCCACATTCCTGTTGCCTCTTTTCTAAGTGGGGACTATTGTGAAGCTGGTGATTATGATGCAAATTCGGTCTTTTCATTTCTGGGCTACACGCAAAGACCAATTACCATATATACAAGAGCCAGGGTCTGCCTTCTTTCACCGTGTTCGCTTGAGCGTGAGCGGAGAATTAATAGCTGAAAAGCAGGCTGACGATCTCAATTTTTACGGCGTGTTTTAACGTGTCCCGGCACAATAATCACGGATTTCGAGAAACCTTGGGCAAGTGTTGATCCAATTAAAGGCAAGCAAATTTACTGCATGGCCTGTCTGATCGGGCAAGCTAAAAAAAAAATTGGTCACGGTCCGAGTCTGGTTGAATATAGGCCGGTGAACAGGTACAGTATGTGTGGGCTCCACAATGTACAAATTACATTTTACTTCCCAGGCCTTGAATATGAATAAGTACGCTAAATCTCCTCAGAATTTTGTGTAAAATGGTGCAACGTCAAACCTAACAAACTGGATGCCTTGATGAGGGTTGCTGCTGCAGGTCCTCCAAGAAGTGTGTTTGATTTCCATCGTGCATTCAAACTGTGGTCTGGTAAAAAAGTTTGTATTCTTGGTATCTGAATCATTCGTATGTGTATGTATTCTGGACATGTATTAAGTTGGAAATAACTTAAAGCAAAATGTGTGAAATATGAGACGTATGGAAATAAATTCCAACAAACATTTGAAAGATGAGACGTACAGGATGTAGTTATTTTTAAATGTTAGTCTGTTTATAATAATTAATCCATTTGAAAAGCAGTCCACAAACAGAAAAGAATCAGAGTGTATAATGTGTTATTTGTTTTATCTTTATTGTCAAACGAATTGGCTACAAAAAGACATGATGTTGGCTCGTAAATTTGTAGGATGGCTATAAAAAGCAAACATTTGGCGACAACTTAGGCTATTAATTGAAGTTTTCTAGCTGGAACCCTGTGATGTAACATTTAAAAAGAGACTGATTCTTTTTTAGTTGAAGTCGACAATCATTTCAACTTGACTATTGTGAAATCATACGTAGCTGTTGTGAAATTCTGTTGGATCCCCGGGTGTCTCAAGACCCCTGGAAAGGGGGTGAGGTTTAACTTGAACTGGAGAGTGAATTTATTGCTTAACACTGCCTGTATTTTTTTGTTGTTGTTCAGGCTGCCCCTGCAGATAATGTCAACCCCAAAGCTTACCCACTGGCTGACCCTCAGCTGTGTGCCAGCATTCTGGACTTAGTGCAGCAAGCAGCCAACTACCACCAGCTCAGGAAAGGGGCTAATGAAGGTCAGAGAAATGTTTATTTAACTTATCCAGCCACCATTAGGGTTACCCTCTTTTGTTTACTTGATTGGCCACTGGTTTCATGTGGAGGCAGTGAGAAGATCTTATTACAGCCCGTTCCCACTTGATCCACCAATTGCGGGATCTGATCCACCTTTTGCCAAATTGCCGGATCAGATCCCCAAATTGGTGGATCAGATCCAGCAATTGTGTGTAGTGGGAACGCTAACCGTTACAAGGTGGATCAGGATCAGATTCACCTTTCTTGATCCTCCTCTGGAGCAGGATACAGATCCCCCAGTTGGTGGATCAGATCCGGCAATTGTGTGTAGTGGGAACGCTGACCGTTACAAGGTGGATCAGGATCAGGTCCACCTTTCTTGATCCTCCTCTGGAGCAGGATACAAATCTCCCAATTGGTGGATCAGATCCTGCAATTGGTGGATCATGATCAGATGGGAACGCAAAAGGTGGATCTGATCCGGCAATTTGACCTGTCAGCATCCATCCGTGCACAAGTGGTGCGAAACTTTTGCGGTCTGATGAACATAGTAATACATTTTTTGGCATGTAGCTCATGTGAAATTTTTAACATGCACAGCATGCACAATAAACAACTGCTGAACTACCGGCTAGCGAAATGTGTCACCACGCATGCACAATGCATGCATGCGATGTGTACCTTGCCCTTTCACAGTTTTCATTGCGCATTCGTCCGTTTCTTAACCTTTTTCATTTTTTGTGTAGTTTCACTTGCTTTCCGTCAAAAACTAATTCCATGTTAGCGTATAGCCCGCAGCGTGTGACAGAGTATCAAAAACGGAAGCAAAGTTTGAAGAGACAACGTACTAGGCTGAACATTCGGTCCGATTCAAGGTCGTCACGTCAGTAGAACTCCGCACCCAAAACACCGCTGGGTCACATGCATGCCGCCCCAGCACGCAATACTGTCACTGAGCGCTTAGCAAGCTAGCACATGCGCAATACCGAACTCAGTGACCTTTAGGGCTCGACATATCCGTCCAAAAAGGTGGATCAAGCGCTAGTGGGAACGCGACTTGCGGTTTCGTTGCGGTAAGATAACGATCACACCAAAATGCTGGATCAAGATCCACCTTTTCCCAGTTCAAGTGGGAATGCGTTGTTTGCTACTCGTAACAGCTTTACTTACACTGTGGGGATATACAAGCCACAAGTGGCAGTGTTGAAGGGCACCATCTGTAGTCACCGGTTGAACTTTATGCAAGAGGAACTTAGAAAGCCTCAGGTAGTTGAAAGAAATTACTTCTGAAATGCATGAAGTTGCAGTTTCACACCGTTGGTGCAAAAAGATGAAGTTGTGCAAGCAGCCAGTAGCAGAGTAGTTTTCAAAGCACTTTCCTGCTGGATTCTTAGTGTCTGTCAGGTAGGTTGTTCCAATAATTGTATTTCAGACTTCATAATAAAAAGCAGTTTCCCTCCTTTCCTCTTTTTCCCCATCAGAGAGATTCTCTTGTATGTGTTAAATCAGCCTACATGTAGATCCCATCAATTGTCAAATATCCTGTTGATGGCGGGAAGTAGTGCTATACATACATGTAAATGTTATTGATGCAGATGGAGATCGTAAAGACAGTGTGTAATTATTCAATTTGAGTAAGTGTAGAAAATACAAGAAGATTTTCTGTCAGTAATCAGGTTGATCTGCCATGTTCCTCTTGCAGCCACCAAGACCCTGAATCGTGGCATTGCTGAGTTTGTCGTCTTAGCTGCAGATACGGAACCTCTTGAGATTCTCCTTCATCTCCCGCTGCTCTGTGAGGACAAGAATGTCCCTTACGTCTTTGTCAGATCAAAACAAGGTGAGTTTACAACTTGGCACATCTAAAATTTTACCCTGAAAGCTTGCTGCATACGTACTGATGCATGAAATGAACAGACCAAGTTAGATCCTTGGATTAAGCTTGGTGAAGTTTAACCGTCTGCTCTCAAGTCTTCAAACTCAATATAAGTTTTCACACTCTAGATAGTTAGGGTTTACAGTGATAATCTGGTGACATAGTTGACTTGTACTCACGTGTTCCTAAAACCTCACAGTACTGGTTCTCTGTTGACCCAGCGCAGATGGCAGATTCCAACTCGTCTAGATTCAGTGAAAATTAGGACCACTTTGGATGAAAAATGAACCTCTGTTCAATTTTGCCCGGTAGCCAGGATATCTTTTGTGTGCAAATTACCAGGGAAGATTAACTAGTGGTTGACAAAGGGTCTGCTCTCAAACTTGCCGATAGTTGACCTATGATTATCCCTAACCACACTGAATCCAGCAATAACCAACAGTGGACTTTTTCTGTTGGATTTTGTTGGTGTGAGTTGTGAACAAAAGGCCTTTTATCTAACTGCTGGATTCTATCAGGTTCGGCAGGTTTCACACTTTTATATTTGTTGGATGTCATTGGATTCAGAAGTAGAATCATAGTTCTAAAGTAACTCTCTGTGATACTGAGAATGGTCGTGAGTTGTTTTATGCCGACATACTGGTGTTGAAAATAATAAGAACTACCATTATATGTTTCTACACATTTTGCTGATAAAGTCCCACGGGCATCATTTGTGTAACATTCTGAAGATAGTGCATAGTTGTATTAGCAGTCTGGAGTATTGCCATATTTGGACAGCCTATTACGTTACAATCTTGCACAATATGACCAATCACAAGGCTTGTTCTAGCAGCCTGCAACGGATTGCACGGGTGTTACCATGTTACAGGGTGCTTTTCTAACATGTTGCAGCATCTGGAGCAAAAACCACTAACGACAGATATCAATTACAAAAATTTGACTGGCTGTGCAAAAAACCTGACTACAGGCATAAATTAGAAGTTCTAAAAACATGTTTGTGCCGGTGGGATGTAAAATTCGTCGTTGCCAACTTGAGATATTCAATATAAAATTTTGACAAAAATTACTCCCATCAGTGTAGGAAAGGTCACTATGCCCATATGTGGTAATACTCTAGACTGATTAGCTTATCCTTTCCATGCTAATTTTGAGATTGCCATGCACTTATTTCTTTTTGCAGCCCAACTTTTATCTTTGCAGTTATCCCTCGTGATTAACTGTTGTATTTTGCAGCATTGGGTCGTGCCTGCGGTGTCTCGCGCCCCGTTATTTCCTGTTCTGTCACCACCAATGAGGGCTCTCAGCTGAAATCTCAAATCCAAACGATCCGTCAAAACATTGAGAGACTGCTTCTGTAAGGGGCTGGGACTGCAGTTTGCTTGTGCCATTTTCCCAAACTTGACTACAATGTTCATCATCAGAAATACAGACCACTGTCACTTTTTTGGTTTATTTTAGGGGTTCTGAGGGGCGGGGGTGTTTATTTCTGGTCACTACCTGGTGACATTCACTGAAGTTACACCTCAAATATTCCAAAATCCAACAACTGGTTGTGAAGGATATTTGTGGATATCGTACCATCAAGTCATAGTCTTTGTATCCAATTTATTTAAAGTGGAAAGAATTTTCCATGCACAATGTACAGTGTTGGTTCCTGGTACTACCAGACTGATAGATTAAGAAAAAGTTTCCTCAATACCCAGAGTGAGGCTTAAAAACTCCCAATGTTAAACGCTGAAAGCTGATATTTTCCCCAAAATGGCTTTTATTGTATACAGTAAAGACAAACCCAACTGTAGTGATTGTGTCTTTTTAACATTTATTCCAACCCTAATTTTCAAGCTCCTGCAGGGTAACTCCCAATTCTATTTCACTTAAGGAAGTGTTGGATACTGATCTATCCACTGAATGATTTTCAATGTTTTGCACAGTAAGGCCAGTTAAAAGGACCCTATTTAATCAAACTGTGGACACAAATGAACTGATCTAAAAGTCCACCACTGGGAATCATGAGCTATTTGAAAACTTTGATAAGATGTGTTAATTTTCATGTTTAATATATGGCCAGGTTTGTACAGAAATGTAACGCGTGTCCTCTTTAATGCTTTTTTTATTGATGGTTTTATGTTCTTCCTTGCCCCCAAATCCAAATTCATGTGAAAGAAATGTGGTCTTCATCAATAATCTTTGCATCTGTAGGAAAGAGCAGGGTTACAAAATGACCTACTCTGTATGTTAAATCAAACCATTCTATAACCTGTCCCATGGTGCGTTCCCTGCTCACTATTTAGTTGAGCAGTGATGCTATCATGTAGCTGAAGTAAGGCCCACCAACTCAATAGCACCAAAGTGCCACCCCCCCCACACACTTACCCATTTAACGGTATTTGTGAGCCTTGGTTTCTCGGCAAAGTATTTCCTGTCTGTTTTTATTTCAGTATATTCGAAGTTAAATACTGGGACTTCATTGGGAGGAAAAGGGGGCTCATTCAGAGACGGAACCGTACCCCAAAGGCGGTTCCAAGGACCCCTGGGTCAAAGTCGGGTTGTGAAGGCTTTATTTTCCTCCTCAATACTCAAACTGATGCAAAATCAATTCCAAGCTTTGTTTTCTGAGTACGTGTTTCACAAAGCGCTCCATGGATCAGGATCTGTGTTGGAGAAGTCTAGGTTTATGGATGTATGATTGTCTAAAGGTGGCCTTACATCAGAGCTTGAGAACTGGGTTCGCGGCACGTTCGCCAGAGAAAAGCCGCGACCGCAACCGAACAGGGCATTTTTCCTTGAGTCCACCACTGAAAATGGGATATTTTGCACCTTCTCGAATCTATGTTGTTGTAGGTTGGGTCAAAAATCCCAGTTCCATGAAAAGCCAACGAGAACGCATTTTTAGCGGTACATGCATCTGATTTGATGAAAGAAAGGTATTAAAGTAATTGATCAATGTAAACGCCAGTGCTGCAAACATACACACGTGCGTAAACGCCAGCGCTGTAAACATACACACGTGCGTAGCGACGAAGCCTAAAACCAAATAATGTGCGCCACCTGTCGTTGGGGTGGAGATGGCTTCGTCTATTTTTTTTGAGTAGCATTTCAGAAATCTAACTATTTACGAGCAAAGAAAACCATTTATTTAGGTATGTCCAAATAAATTTCTTGACGTTAAACTTTAATATAAATTAGAATGGTTTCTATATTTTCTTTTTTCAGATAATTTAACAGATGAAAACATTTTTTTTTTATTGCTACAACATCATACTCACCCCACTAAAATAGAACAATCCATATTGTTCGCACCCTGTGCTTGTGCTGCGCTGGACGCACGTAATACAATGTAGTACGATGCAACGTCCCGATGCAACGACAGGTTGACGAATTTGTATGTGGGAGAATATTTTCAGGACAAGTAATAAATTATCGCCAGTGTCTCTGGTGAAGTTGCTGACCGGTACACTGCTGAGAGCTCCAGAAATGTGGATGCGAGTCGCATCGGGAATTGACGGGAGATTAACCGAACCAGAAGCAAGCAAGCCAAGGTAAGATTTTTAAGGAAAGCGTTAACTTTCGGTATAACCAGATAGGGCCTAACGTAATTAGGGCTAGTGATTTGAGCGTCTTTTCGAACCTCCGTGAAAAATTTGAGTTACCAGGGGTTACTAGTAGTAGGCCTACCTTCTTATTCTTCCATGGATGCCTATAGTTTCAGCGCACATTTTCAGTCACAAACAATCGTTAGCTAGTTCTATCAATACTGTCAGTGATGTGAGTGAAGTGCTACCGATCAACATCTTGTCTTGCATGCACTGTTGCTTTGAGCTGTTGTCTACAGTCCATCGAGTCGGTCCGCAAGGTCATGAAGGTCAGGATGT